TAGATTCCAGCCTGGATCAGGTCCAGATCCGGTTAGATTCAGGCTGGATTCAGGTCCAGATCCAGTTTAGATTCCAGCTTAAATTCAGGTCCAGATTCCAGTTTAGATTCCAGCTTTAAATTCAGGTCCAGATTCCGGTTTAGATTCCAGCCTGGATTCAGGTCCAGATTCCGGTTTAGATTCCAGCCTGGATTCAGGTCCAGATTCCGGTTTAGATTCCAGGCTGGATTCAGGTCCAGATTCCAGTTTAGATTCTAGCCTTAAATTCAGGTCCAGATTCCGGTTTAGATTCCAGCCTGGATTCAGGTCCAGATTCCGGTTTAGATTCCAGCCTGGATTCAGGTCCAGATTCCAGTTTAGATTCCAGCCTCAGATTCAGATGTCACATTCAGGTTAAGATTTCATCCGTGATGCAGGTTTTAACCTTTTTACTACCAGTTCCCTCTTTTCATTGCAAACTCACAAAATACCCCGTTTATAGTCTGCACTTTCCTTCAGAAGATTGGTACAAAAATTTGTTGATTAAAAACTTAAAATTGAGTCAAAATTTGTCTGTTATTAGAATAACAGGGTTCATTTCTAGAAATATTGAAGAATATGAGAAAAAAGTGCAGAATAATTTGGTGGTGAAATAGTTATATTCAAAGATTGTCTGCCTGCTGGAAGCCTCCAGAGATGTATCAAAATTAATGTGAAAAAAAGGGGGAGTCAGCAGACGAGATCAGAGTATGATTTATTTTCAGAAGATTTTATTTATTTGTGAAAGTGAACAATTAATGTTTTTAATATCAATATACTGTAAAATACTTTATTTTAGCTGGAATTAATTTTCGCTGAAAAGTCTTTTTCGGGTGTTTTGTATGGAATTCATTTTCACTGATGTTTCAAAAAGTTGAATGTAAAATATAGGAAAAAGGTATATTTGCTGGATTTAGAAAATTGCGAAAAAATAGCGAAAATTAATTCCAAGCGAAAATAAAGTATTTTATAGTATATCAAAATAGATGAGTTTCGAGTTCATGGCTGTGTTCCATGGTTGCTACATTATTGATCACGTTTATAGCAAAGACGAGGGATTTGATTTACAGCTGATCATCCATGAGGGGAAGTCTAAACTCTGTTATTATGTAACTATAGTATGTATATCGCAGTCAATATTGTTTTTATGTTGGAAATTATTCTATTCGTATAACAACAAAAAATGGTTTTGCTACAAATAATGCAAATACTGTTTAGATTTACATCCCCAAACAAGAGTTGCATGATTGTTCATTCACAACTGAGCACACTCCACTAAAGAAGCAGGGGTGGGTGGGTGTTTGAGGGAGGGGTGATTTTATAACCAGTCATTTGCGAGAATGAGTGTTTTAAGTTTATTCAATATATATGTATGGTGTGCCTCAGAGGTGTCTTATGTATATAGATGCCAAGAAATTATATTTAGTTCTATATACTTGTGTATGAGGGAAAAATATATTTTTCATATTTCATGAATATTTTATAAACTTCCCAAGGCATGGATCAGTTTCAAACTGAATCTGCATACTGCATTTATTCTATAAGCACATCTCTAATAGAAACTTTCAGAGAATAATATTGTGTTTAGATTTCTT